AGAGAAGCAAAGTCGTCTCACACTCTTGTTTCACTTATATGCCACCCTCGACATGGCAATGGCTTCAGCGTCCACGGCTCCACCATCCCCAGGGCTGGAGAAACATTTCAGCCTTCCACAGTGTGTCATCCTCGGAAAGTCCAGTCAACAGGGAAGTGCATTTTGTTTGATGTTAAAAGAGGAGAGTTATTTTATTTTATTTTAATTTTATATTGGAGTATAGTTGATGTATGATGTTGTGTTAGTTTCAGGTATACAGCAAAGTCATTCAGTTATACATATACATCCATCCATTGTTTTTCAGATTCTTTTCCCATATAGGTTATTACAGAATATTGAGTAGAGTTTCCTGTGCTATATGGTAGGTCCTTGTTGATTATCTGTTTTATCTATAGTAGTGTATATTTGTTAAGAGGAGAGTTATTTTTGAGGTTCAGTTTCAGGTTGTGATTTGATTGTGCACCCAAAGCGGGCATGTCAGTGTGGGGAGCTGGTTGAGGGAGGAGTGGACAGTTGCAAGGACACAGCTGGAAATGGCTCTTTCCAGTGCAACCCAGGACAAGTTATATCATTGTTCTCACCGATACTGCTCAAACCTCTGTAGCCCAGAGGCATTCAAGCCCATGAATTTTAATCAATAGCTTGTTTACCTAATCCCTTTGCATGGTTCCTCATACTCAGTGGTTCTGGGAATCTGGAAAGGAAAATAGTCAGGTCAGCAATGGAGTTTTAGGTATGACTCAGCTGTCCTGTAAGGTGAACCACTTATCTCTCTTTTCTTATCAGCTTAGACCAATAAATACAGTACCTGGAAGGACAGAGTGTGTTTGTATGGAAACTAATCAGGAGGACATTTGGGGCTCATTTGGCCAAAATAAATTTCATGGTCTTGAAGTTCATACAATAGACTCGTACTGATTTGGGTTACTTAGGGAGCTCTCCCCTCAGGATCCCTGCCTTCGCCCCCTTTTTGGTCTGTCTTACTGTCTCACCCTGATTTCTCAAATGAGTCTTCTAAGTTAGCACGGTTACAACATGGCTATAGAGCAAAAAGAACTCTACTTTTCAAGTTTCTCCAAAGGGACTTCAGATATCTGGTGGATCCATTGCCTTCACTGGCCAAGTTTTCCCAGAGGCCTTTCGTTTAAGTCTTACTATTTGCTTCACCACAGTAAGTTGGGAGGAGTGTTGTCCTTTTGTGCCTGTGAATGCTTAAAAAAAGTAAAGAGAGGAGCTCAGCCAAGTAGATGATTTTCCAACTGTCCCGTTCCTTGGCTACCAATATAAATAAGAGCTGTTGCGGCCACATTTTCCAATTAACAGAGGGAAAATATACTTATCAGTGGTGACTGCTTTTAAAAATAACATTTATTGTTTTTCTAATTATAAAAGTTAATATGGCCCTGTAGAGAATTGGGGAAGCTTAAAGGAAAAAAAGGAATAAATTCATCCACTCAGGATCTCTTTTGTGACTATTTTGATAAGTTTATGTTCAAATCTTTTCCAAGAGGATACAACCTGATTCTGTGGACATCTAGCTTTCTTGTTTAGAGCGTTTGTCTTCTCTTTTAGTATCTGAATCTTATTATAAGTGCTCTTTATTTGCTCTAAACTCAATACTGAACCGTGAACTTTCTGAACTAAGGAAATAAAGAATTAATTTATTCCACACATCCTGAGGCTTCAATTTCTTATTAGAGAAGTCACAGGTAACACAATGCTTGAGTTGCAGTGCTGCAAAACAATTTTTTTTTTTTTTTTTTGGTGGTACGCGGGCCTCTCACTGTTACGGCCTCTCCTGTTGCGGAGCACAGGCTCCGGACGCGCAGGCTCAGCGGCCGTGGCTCACGGGCCCAGCCGCTCCGCGGCATGTGGGATCTTTCCGGACCAGGGCACGAACCCGTGTCCCCTGCATCGGCAGGCGGACTCTCAACCACTGCGCCACCAGGGAAGCCCTGCAAAACAATTTTGATGGATATTGTCAATAGTAAGGTAAAGGGAGGAAAGAAGTAAGTTTCTAGGGGCAAATTTTTTTTTCCTTCTAGGAAAAAAATGCAAGTAACTTTAGAGAAATCTGCAATGCAACCAGCTACTGTGTATCCTGTACATAGTGACAGATATCTATGCTTGGTAGAGGAATAGATTTTCTAGAAAGATGCTTGTCAAATGGTCTCTGGCTTTAGCTGTGGTTGTGAGCTCCATTGTGGAGCTTCTAAAACCATTCCTAGCGGCATTTTCCCATTCACTTGACTCACTGTTAATGATCGGACAGCATCAGTTCAGCATTCTGCCTTCCAAATTATGTTAGAAGTCATGTACTTAATTTCCACTGATAATATCCTTTGGCAAAATTGGGGGGAATATTAAATATTGAAAGTTTTGAACTGAGTTCAGGAAATAGGTGGGTGGATTTCTTAGGCTGTTGGCATGTGATTTGTGGACAGGAATTTCTTTTTTTAAGCAAGAACAGTGCACTATATTGACTGGCCGGGTCATCCAATGTACTGTCCCTGAGAACCAGAGCGTAGACAAGTGTTCTTTGTCTAATTGAGTGAATAAAAAACATGTTTTGGCATGAATGGCCATGTGCATTTTCAGGGAGGAGGGGCACATGCATGCCAGGGCCTAATGAATTCAAATCTTAAAAACGTATCCATAAAACTTGTCTGTGGATCAGAAGGGGGCTGGTAGGAATGCGTGATATCCAAGCCTTAAGATTGCACTGGAAGCAGAAGCAGGATGTGGGTGGTTGTACAAGGGAAAAATGCTGTTGGAACATTAGATGTGCCGTGTCAGAGGCCTTCAGAATCTGCACAGTTGCAAGAATTTCTCAGGCTGTAAAGCTTGTAAAAGAGGCAGTTGTGCTTTGCTTTGTGCGTTTTACAACTGGTGAACGTCATCCTTTGAAACAAGGGGCAATGTCTTCCTGATTGAGGAGCTTGAAAATGTTTCTCTTGACAAGTGGGAGTCTAGTCATGAGGTTTCTAATGAGCGGTGATTAACAGCTCCGGGAAGAGTGCACATCACTGTCTGCACCCTGCCCCGTGTCATCTGGCCACCTGACTCCCAGATTTCCCTCTGTGCCAGAAGAACCAATAAAAATATAAGTCAACCGACTAGGAGATGCCACCAGTGTCTGCCAGATTTCTAGGGTATGGTGTCAAATGACAGGGGCAACTAGAGATGTCCAGCTGGCCTGAGTTGAGCACTGACTTTCTCCCTGGGTTTGTGTGCCGTCTCTGGGCCGTAGTCATTTCACCTGCAAAACGGGGTGATACCACTCATCACTTACGCTCATCTCCACTGTGCACCCTGGTACAAGCCATGATTACACGTCACCTGCCCGCTCACTGTAGCAGCATCCTAACTAGTCTTCCTGTGTTGATTCTTACCTCCCTAAAATCCAGCCTCCATGCACCAGCCAGAGCGGTCATGATGCTCACTGTCTCCATCTGAAACCATCTTGTTTGCTTGCTTTCTTGTTATCTTCTCTCTGATCCCTGCCCTGGAATGCAAGCTTCACGGTCTCCCCTACTTCCTGAAGAGCCTATCCATTGGCTCCAGCGGGGTGGTTCTCCCTCTCTCCTTCCAGCCGCTTTTGCTCTGGTGTTCTCCTGTTCTCATTTTTTTCAAGCAGTTTTATTTACTTCCTGAGCTAGTTTGAAATGGGAATCAGGAAATGGAGGGTTTAGTTTTAGTTCTGCCACTTCCTGGCTGGGTGCCCTAAAGACAGTCACTTACCTTCTCTGGGCCCGTCTCCTTACTTGTAAAGAGAGGGTGTATTTGTTTGCAAGGGCTGCTATAATAAACTACCAGACTGGGAAGCTTAAACATCAGAAGTGTATTTTCTCACAATTCTGGAGACTAGAAGTTTGAGGTAAAGGTGTCAGCAGGGTTGATTCTCCTGGGCGTGTCGAAGATGGCCATCTTCTCCCTGTGTCTTCAACATGGCTTCCCCTCTGTGTGTCTGTGTCCTAATCTATTCTTATAAGGACATTAGTCATATTGGATGAGGGCCCAGGTGTACCTTAGTTACATCTTTAAAGGCCCTATCTCCAAATATAGTCATGTTCTGAGGTACAAGGAGTTATGAGTTCAACATACGAATTTTGGGTGCACTTAATTCATCCCAAAACAGAGGGGAATATGCTGGATGATATCTAAGACCATTTCCAGCAGGTACGAAATTATATTTTTGTTGGACATCTTCCTCCTCACTTTCTTGCCCAGTTTCACTCCTATGAGGTAACAGCTTGGTGCGTATGCCTCCTAATTTTTAATGTTCACACATATCCTCTCGTGCATTTTGAAGGGTGTGTGTGTGTGTGTGTGTGTGTGTGTGTGTGTGTGTGTATCTAGCAATAATGTAAGTGATGGACTGTCAAAATGGGAGAATTTATCCACAAAATACTAAATGGAACCCAAAAAAAGCATCCAAGAAGGGATTTTAATTTCATTTTTTTCTATAATTTTTTAATTTAAAAATTATTTCTATCTTTATTTTTTATTTTAAAAATTGAAGTATAGTTGATTTAGAATCTTGTGTTAGTTTCTGATGTACACCAGAGTGATGCAGTTATTCACATATGTGTATATTCTTTTTCAGATGCTTTCCATTTGGTTTCTATAATTTTGTTTTTTTTTTTTTTTTGGCTGCATTGGGTCTTTGTCGCTGCGCGCGGGCTTTCTCTAGTTGCGATGAGCCGGGGCTACTCTTTGTTGCGGTGCACGGGCTTCTCATTGCGGTGGCTTCTCTTGTTGCGGAGCGTGGGCTCTAGGCACGTGGGCTCAGTAGTTGTGGCTCATGGGCTCTAGAGCGCAGGCTCAGTAGTTGTGGCACATGGGCTTAGTTGCTCCGCGGCATGTGGGATCTTCCCGGACCAGGGCTCGAACCCGTGTTCCCTGCAATGGCAGGCGGATTCTTAACCAGTGCGCCACCAGGGAAGTCCCAGTTTCTATAATCTTTGAAGTATATAATTCAAAATGGTTTCTTTCCACAGCTGGAAACTGACAAGCTGGCTCTCCCGAGGAGCCCCAGCCCGCTTAGCACGAGCCCGGTCGCCAGCCCCAACCCGAAACTTGAGAATTCCACGCTTCTGACGGTGGAGCCCTCCCCACTGGATAAGAACAAGGGCTTCTTCGTGGACGAGTCCGAGCCCCTCCTTCGCTGCGACTCCACGTCCAGCGGCTCCTCGGCGCTGAGCAGGACCGGATCATTTATAACCAAAGGTACGGATGGTTCGGACCCACATTCATTCTTCAGCCTCCCCTCAAAGAGCCCGTGGCATCTCTCCCTCCATCAGTTCCCCATTCCAGTAGGGGCTGGGTCATCTAAATGACCTGCCCTGGACTTCGAGGTGAGGCTGGCCTGCGCGAAACGACGTCATTAGCCAGTCGGGACCTGCCTAGAAAATCTTTACAGCCCCGACTGTCTGGCCGGGAGCCTGTGTCCAGGAGTATCGGTCACCCTTGATCCTCATGATGCTATCGAGTGTGTGTTTCGGGGAAGGTCCGATAATGTGTAGTCTGGCAGGTTTTTTTTGTGTGTGTGCAAATTATTTACTAGGCTTGCAGAATCCAGGGATTTAAAGTATAACTTATCTTGAGAGTCTGGGGTAGAGGTTTTAGTGACTGAAATTAAATTTCGCTCTGTTAAGCTTGGTTGCAAATAACAATGTTTTAAACATCATGGGTTGGTACTTTGGGTAAATAATTTGCCACTTGCAGTTTTGAATAGCAGGGTAGGGAATCAGCATGTACACTATACTGATGACAGGTTTTTGTTAGGAATTTCCTAGTTTGGGTAACACCGGTTATATTTTACCGAAAGGGGTATATTTTATGTTGTTTTTTATATATTTATAAAATAATTCTATTTCACATATTTATATTTTATACTTTATATATTCATATATCTCTATACTTATATAAAGATTTCTATTTTAGTTTATAATTTATGTTACATATTATATTTTAGAGAATACATCTTATAAATGGTAGTAGAAGTTATAGTTCCTCACTCCATTGTAAGATATGACCCAAGAAGCAATATTGTCTTATTTATGTGCTTTTGCTCCAAGCAGTTTAATTTTAAAATATGACAATGTAATTAGGAAGTCAGATAAGCCGATTATTGACTTGGAATGTTTGAGGGGAAAGGCTGGGCTCATATCTTTGCTTACTAACATGTTACAGATGGGGAAAGTAGTGACGGTTTGTTTTTGTTTTTGTTTTTTTAAAGTTTCTTTAAGTATTTCAGCATTCTCCTGAGTTTTAGGAGAGTTTCGGAGACGTCATTCGAGTCTAGGCAAATGTCATGTTCCATCAACAATGCGTTCAAGCAGATAAGCAGATCCTTGTCTGATCTCTGTTACGCACATCTTGTTTGTTATCTTACGTGCCACGTCGGTAAAAACCACGGTGGTGTTTAAAAATGTGCCTGAGCTTCACTGCCTCACCTCGCAGGGTGGGATGGGGACAGCCTGGGGAGAGGGTCGCTGTCACCTTAGCTCTCCTCCGTCCCCCAATACAGTCCCGTTACAGCTGTCCCCTCTCCTCTCCTCCCTGCAGAAAAGAAGGACACAGTGCTGCGACAGGTGCGCCTGGACCCCTGCGACTTGCAGCCTATTTTTGATGACATGCTCCACATCCTGAATCCCGAGGAGCTGCGGGTGATTGAAGAGATTCCTCAGGCCGAGGACAAGCTGGACCGGCTGTTTGAGATCATTGGAGTCAAGAGCCAGGAAGCCAGCCAGACCCTCCTGGACTCTGTTTATAGCCATCTTCCCGACCTGTTGTAGAACACGAGGAATACTGCACTCTGGAAATTACTCAATTTAGTGGCAGGGTGGCGTTTTTATTCTTATTTTTTTTTAATTTTTGTTTTTTGGTGTGTGTGTGTGTGTGTGTGTGTGTGTGTGTGTGCGCGCGCGCGTGTGTGTTTAACAGAGTATATGGCCAGTGTTTTGAGTTCATTCTTTCTTTTTAAAAACCCTCCTGGGAAGTTAGCATATAAGCCTTTTCAACTGTTTCAGAATATCCACCACTGAAGTTTTTTTAGTTTCCATATTTTCTCTGTCTTGCCTTCGTATGTATTCTCAAAATTGTTCTGTGCACTTTAAATTCACTTAATGTATCACAAATACAGTGCGGCTTTTCCCACACACTGGACTATGAGGCTCTTAACTTCTTAAAAGTGTCATAGCATCTTGTGAATGCTATAAGCTGTCTTCATGTCTCAACATTCACATCTGCTTTATTATTATTATTATTATTACTATTTTATTATTTGCCATTTATGAATTTTCTTAAGGATTCAAGAAACGTAAGACCCCATTGAGTTACTGTAACGCAATTAGATCTTGAAGTATCTTTTTAACATGCCTCGTTGGGTAGTTCATATTTATGGCTGAAACTTGACCACACTGTTGCTGATTGTATGGTCTTCACCTGGACACCGTGTTGAATGCTTGATTACGTGTGCTCCCCTTACGCTATTCTGCTCTGGGCTGGAGACATGAAATCCTCACAAGCCATCATGACTTGCTATTTGAGTGGCTTGACAACTGGGCCACCAAGGAACTTGAACTTCAACTTTTAGAGATTGAGCTGTTCTGGAACATATTGCTGCACTTTGGAAAGTCACAGTTGAAGTGCTGGTGACAAATGACACCTTTTCCAAAGGGAATTTGTCCAGCTTTGCTTTACAAGATGTCTTGTTTTTTATACACACATAGTCGATAGGTCTGGTCTGCCCTCAGGGCCTCGGTCTTGGGGGGTTTCCTTCATTCAATCACTTTAGTTAAAAATGGCTGCAGCTTTAAGAACTCTTGTCTGATCTATTTGCAACTCTGCTCCCATTTATACACGTGCTCTTTGATGCTTAGTTGCTGAATTCTAATGCAAAGGTGGTGTGGACTCCCTTTGTGTGGGTGGGGTTTGTGGGTAGTGGTGAGGGACTGATATCAGAAAACTGCCTTCAAGTGTACTAATTTATTAATAAATATTAGGTGTTTGTTACTTGAGTAGTTGAGTGTATTTAATCCCTGCCTTGTTCGTGTGCTCATGTTATAATTCTTTGATTAGTCTCTTGGAAAAGTGTATTCTAAAACCTGAGCGTTTCTAATCTGTGAACCATGCACAGTAGCGAAGGTTTGTGTTTGGAAAAGTACCTAGAGATTCATAGAGAAGGACTTCCAAGCATTGAGGATGAACAAGCATTTCCTAGTTTGTTGGGGGTAAATCCGAGGCTCCTGCTTTTGAGATTGTCTCTGCTTTAAGAAATGAGGATTTGGAGGTGGAGAGGGATAAATGCTGACTAGGCTTTGGATTATATTCTTCTTAACTCAGTTCCATCTTGGAAATTAATACTATACAAGTTCATGGGCCTGTCTACACAAGTTCATAGGCTTCTATATGAAACCTTATTGCCCCTGATTAACCTCAGGGGGCTTTCTTGGCAGTATGGCAGGGTAGCATCTTATGTTGGTGGGCTATATTACATTATATTTTATCTATTATGTTATATTTTATATTTCATTGCTTATCTCCCTTAGTTTGGGAACCCTGGCTCCACAGAATTCCCACAGCCAGAACCCTTTGAGGGTTCAGCAACTTTGAGTTCCTCTTTCAGTGAGAAATGGGAAGTAGATACCCTGTCTGAACACTTTGACACCCATGTCAGTGACATGAAAGGGGTTTTCTGGTTTTGTCCACTTCCATGTGACTGGTTTCTAGAGCGCCATCCTGGGATTTGGTTTCATGGTTCTCGGGCCAAGTTTCCTTTCCTCTTTGTCACCAGAAGATAGAAACTCTTCACAAAAGGAAAACAACCCGGAATGGGTCCTGGATGGTAGTGGAGGAGACAGATTTTTTTGTTTCTCAGAGGATTTCAGGACTGCCACTTATTTTATGTGGGGTTGAGAACATCATAAATGAATGAAGCAGCGTTAACGGTAATTTGTAAATTATTCATAGCTTGGAGATGCTTTTATTAATCTTTTACACAGCTTTATACTTTACAAAGTACTTTTCATATTATGTTATTGAATCCTCACAACTATCCTATAAGACAGGGACTATAATTTGTGCCCATTTTATAGATGAAAAATAGGCTTATTTTAAAGGCTAAGGAACTTGCTTAAGGGCCAACAGCAGAGTTGTAGAGATCAGACTTGAATCTGAACCCAAGACTGTTTATTCAGGACTGTTTATCCAGAACTCTTTTGTCAGGCTGAAACAGTGGACACAGAGATCATGGTGATAACATTTATCTGGGTTATAAGGAAAGCCCTATACCTAAGTTCAATAAATAATTGTGGAAATATAGGGAAGGGGTGGTATCTCTTGATGATCCAGGGGAAAGGGACATAGGAGTTGTGGTTAAACAGAAGCTGAATATTGAATTAACATGACATATAGCTTTTCTTAAAAAAAAAATAAAAAAGGCAACCTTTAACTGCAGTATTAAAAAATAGAATGTTCTGGGCTTCCCTGGTGGCGCAGTGGTTGGGAGTCCGCCTGCCAGTGCAGGGGACACGGGTTCGTGCCCCAGTCCAGGAAGATCCCACATGCCACGGAGCGGCTGGGCCCGTGAGCCATGGCCGCTGAGCCTGCGCATCCAGAGCCTGTGCTCCGCAGCGCGAGAGGCCACAGCGGTGAGAGGCCCGCGTACCTCAAAAAAAAATAAAATAAAATAAAAATAGAATGTTCTGATTGGAGCTGATGATAATCTCATTTGTATACTATCTTGATCACTTTGGAGGTTTTCTCCGATTGGAGCTGCCCTGCCTTGAGGGATCTGCTGAACTGGAAGGTCTCCACTGTGGGGTTAGGGGGGAAGAGTAAGAAACAGAATTGGGAGCAATGGCTGGGAAATCTACACTTGATGAGGAAGACCCATGGAGGCAGGGGAAAGGCTACCTTCAGTGATTTGAAAGGCTAAGCAAGAGACTCTTTTTCTTTAGAGAGTCATACTGTCTTCTCTAGGCCAACTTAGGCTAAATGCAGAGGAGCTTTGACACAACTAGGTGAGGCTGGTTTTCAGAGAAAATGGTTCCTCCTCTGAGGAGAACTTGGACGTGCTTCCGTGCTTCTGAACCTTTCACGTAAGTAAGCGTCGTCTGGGAATCAGCAGGCTGCTACGTAGACAGATTCCCGGAAAGTTCAATTCAGGGGATTTGTGGTGACGTGGAGATCGAGCTTCCCACACGATTCTTCTGGAAACCCTCATTGGGTCACATTGAGAAAAGTGCTTTAGATCCTTGCCACTGTGGACTGGGGACCAGCCGAACGACATCTGGGAGCTCTTAGAAATGCATAGTTTGAGGCCACTTTGCTGTGCTTCTTAAACTTTAATAAGCCATGAAGCACTTGGGGATCTTGTTACAGCACAGATTCTTTTTCAGTTATTGGCCAGGGAGAGGGGGTGCCTGGGTGGCATGGATGCTGCTGGCCCCCAGATCACACTGAGGAGCCTGAGATGAAGCTTCGGTTTCAAAGGGACTTACAAAGAGTAGCACTGATATGGGAGAAGCTTGCACCAATTCCACAGGAGAGAAGGAAAAAATCTCGGATGATCTAAAGAGATTTCCACCATCAGGCAATCCAATCCTGGTCAGAATCTACCGGAATCAGCCAGAGGAGCTTTGAGAAATCCAGTGCCCAAGCTCAACTCCAGACCAATTATGCCAGCCTCTCAGGGATGGGACCCCGACATGAGCATTTTTTAAAGCTCCCCAGGAGATGCCGGTGTGTAGACAGCTCGCACAACTGCTGATTTAAGAGCTCGTGAAGAGACTGCTTCTGGAGCCTCACCCCAGAGCTGATGGATAAATCCTACAGGGAGGTAACCTGGGGATCTGCAACTGTGGTTTTGCTATAGCCAGTCCCACTCAACCCTGCAGACTTGCTTTAGGACACATAACCCTGCTGTAAAATGTTATGTAACTGTTAGCGGGCTTCCTTGGTGGTGCAGTGGTTCAGAATCCGCCTGCCAATGCAGGGGACACGGGTTCGAGCCCTGGTCCGGGAAGATACCACATGCCGGAGAACAACTAAGTCCGTGCACCACACCTACTGAGCCTGCGCTCTGGAGCCCACGCGTCTAGAGCCCGTGCTCCGCAACAAGAGAAGCCACCGCAATGAGAAGCCCGTTCACCACAGCAAAAAGTAGCCCCCGCTCGCCTCAACTAGAGAAAAGCCCAGTGCAATAACAAAGGCCCAGTGCAGACTAATTAATTAATTAATTAAATTTTAAAAATGCTATGTAACTGCTAGGAATTGATACACTACCAAGCATAGTTGGGGCAACATCTTATGGCTTAATTACACTGAAGAACCCACCTGCAACTAATCAGTTCTTCATGGCTTTGAGCATAATATATAAGGTATGATTAATCAAGAATATTTGGGAAGTGATGTTAGGAACATATGATTAAACAAGAACACTTGGGAAGTGATGTTATCCTGATTTATGTTTCTATCTGTATATTTGATTGAAGGTTCGCCAATTTCAAAGAAATGAAATAAGGTATCATGAGTCATAAACCTGCACTGACTATATCATAGAATCTCAGACTTTTACAACACCTGGGCCACTGGGGCTTCCATCTCATTGTACAGTCCTGTAGATGCAGCAAGGTCCTATCTTGACCTTTGACTTGAGAAAAGTCAATGTGATCTTTTGTTTAGCAGAATGGTAGCCCTTACCTTTGTAGGGAACATTGGACATCATCCAGGGAGACTGTGGTTTTTCAGGTGGGAAGTTAGGGCACTGGTATAAATCATAACATTGTGGCGTCCTAGAAAGAACACCGGATTTGGGGTCAGAAGTCCTTAGCCCACAGCTGCTGGAGGTTTGAGCACATCTGAGCCATCTATCAGAGTAAGGGAATATCCCAGTGGCTAAAGAGGCCCTGAGAGTTCTAAGGAAGCAAGAAGCATAAGACAGACACTGTTACCATGATCGTCAGGTCAGGCTCTGGGTCAGAGACCAGAGACCAGAGACCAGGACATATAAGAAAGAAAATTGATACAGGGAAAAGCAATTAGAAAGTGAGAATGTGGAGCTGATAACCGAGGCAAGGCTTTGGCAGAGCCAGAGATTTCACCTTCACTTTATCCTTGGCCTGAAACCAAGTCCAGGGTCATAGGCCTGGCAGGGGTGGGGACAGACTAGGGAATTATGGATTATGAGCTTAGCTTGAGTCAAGACAGAACCCGAAGGTCCACATGGGAGCCCAGCTGGGAGACAGATGGAGGAGGGTTCCAGAGGGTGTGTGTCCCAGGGATCTAGAACTCGTAGGTCACAAGGACAACTTTCAAGGCCTCCCAATTTAAAATCAGTGGTGGCCCGAAGCAGGAGTAGGGTGGGAGATGAGCCAAAGCCCAGAGAGTAGGATGTTAATACTTAGAAGGCCAGCAGCATGGGTTCGGCAAGCAGCCCCTCAAAGATGGAAATAGGGGCGGAAACCCACTCGTGATGGTTTGACAGTGGAGGATTTAAAGACAGGGATTTTAGGCTCCAAGTTCTCCCCCAAAGAGCCCTTCCTCCCCTAAGATCAGATCTATCTCTGGAGTTGGGGACACAATTGCCTTTATAGATGAGGATGAGGGGTGAGTGGACGGCACGCAAGCAGGACAAGACAAGCAGGGCATAAAAAACCACGGGAATTGAGGGAGACAGGTGAGTGAGCCCCTGATTCCAAGGGGGAGCAAGTGAGTGGAAATGAAGTCACTTCTGGATGCAGGGGACCTGGGATTGTCCTGGAACAAGATTCTTTGTGGTCCCTGAATGTAAATATCATAAAATATGAAACTAGATCTCAACGTGGTCAAACTCTTACCTCTACCATCCAAACTTGTTGTTGAGTCATCTTCCTGAAATTTAGTTTAATTCTAACTCCAGCCCACTTCTGGCTCTGCCCCCGACCCCTGGAGGGGAGGGCTCCATCAGAAAGCAGCTTGTCCCATGGTACACGGTCTCTTCTTGATCACACTAAGGCTTAGGTAGCAAATAG